AAAATAGCAAAAATCCTCAGGGAAGTTTTATTCATGATAGGAGGAAACAGAAAAGAGGAAAAATTCCTGGGGAGTTTCTGTTCAGAATCGGGCTGATTATGAAACAAACGTTCATGTGTAAAGCGTGCAAATTAAATAGCTGGAGTTGAGCTGTCAAAAAACTGTCAAACAGCTCTTCGAAACTTCGAATTTCCTGCTCCCAAATTTTCGGGGAAGATTGTGCTCCCTGGCAGTTTAGAATAATAGGATTTTATTCTCGAGAAAAGTAAAATCCGCGAGAAAAGAAATCCTCGGGATTATTCAGAAATGGGGCTGATAGAAAATATGATATAACCGGAAATCAAATTTTTATATTCTTTTCATATCTACCTTCTTAATTTTATATATTAATCCACATCCATCTTTTGTATCAAATTGAAGCACATTTCGAAAACATTAAAATTTTAAGAAAATCGTTAATGTTTTGAATTGGTTTTTTGGGTTTTCTGTGGGACTAATTTATGTCTTCTAACCCTCCTCCATTAAATCTTTAGCGTTACCCATGGGACAAGCACGCTGTACTTTAGAAAACATGATTCCATCGACATCAGCTTGGTGTACACATTTATCAGCCTCTCAAGAGCCTTCAGAAAAAGAAGTTATCCTTAGGTTGGTCTCGGCAGCTGCTGCCTGTCTTTGACAGTATTCTGTCCCATTCTCAATATCTGAACTATTCCAAGCTCGCGGCATGGTCTGCACATTTCTTTAGTAAGAAGATTTCGCTAGTCGTTCTTTAAGACAATAAAGATCAAAGTTCTACTATGGTGACTTATTTCTTCAGTTGGCTACCTGTGGCGGCAAACTTACTTGTAAGCGTCAGACAGAATTTTTGACAGGCATTCGGTCATCCTTTCCATTGCGCATGCGTTGTTAAGCAACTCCTTGACAAGCGCTTAGTTTGTAGGAAGTATCTGCCAAGAACCTTCTCTCCACACCGCCATCAATACCCTAGGCTCAGAACAAAGTGTTAGACCAGTAGTACTACTTCACTTTAGCCCTACGTTCGTTGTAGGAACTTTGCCGTTATTAGCTTCATTCAAATTGCTGCGCTTTACCTCCAGCGGTGTGTAACCATGCCAGGTTTCCCGGCTCAGAGCCTTCTATCCATCGTGTTCTAAGGCAGCAATCACCACATCTCCAGTACTTTTATTACCAGAATTGCTACCCTAGCTTTGCGGCTAGGTGTGCGCGGATGTTACGCGCCTTCAGCCC